GGCAGGAGAATGGCGTAAACCTGGGAGGCGGAGCTTGCAGTGAGCTGAGATCTGGCCACTGCACTCCAGCCTGGGTGACAGGGTGAGACCCCGTCTCAAAAAAAAAAAAAAAAAAAAAGACTGACCAAGATTAACATGTGCTGGCAGCTGCAGCAAGTGTTTCAAACACAGCTCGCCTGAACCTCGCAACAGCCTGTGATGCAGACGCTGTCACTAGCTTTGCTTCTAGATGAAAAAGTAAGGCTTGGAAAGACGAGACAATTTTCTGAGGTCACACAGCTACCACAGAACAGTGTGGGGTCAACACCCAGGCCTGCCCAAAGCCCAGACCATGTGCTGATCCTCCGCACCGCAAGGCCTCTTGAGGCTGGCATGGGACTTTACTGAAACAATGTCTTAGAGGAAGAGAACAGAGAAATCTTGGGAAATTCTTTGCTACCCACTGATCTTCCTGATGATTAGAAAATAAGTTGACATTTTTAGAATTATTAACATGTTATTAGGATATAAAATTCTACCGATTTCTAAAAGTTAGGAGCAACTGAAAAAATTAAACATAAAAAGGCAATTAAAAGTATTCCAGAATATGTAGAAAACAAATCAGTAAAGGACACTATTGAAAAGAAAATACCGTGGCTGGGCATGATGGCTTACACCTGTAATCCCAGTCCTTTGGGAGGCCAAGGTGGGAGGATCGCTTAATTTCAGGAGTTCAAGACCAGACTGGGCAACAAAGTGAGACCTTATCTCTATTAAAAAAAAAAAAAAAATGAGCCAGGTGTGGCCGTAGGCACCTGTGGTCCCCAACTACATGAGGGGCTAAGGCAGGTGGATCTCTCGAGCCCAGGAGTTCCGCAGTGAATCCTAATTGTGCCACTGCACTCCAGCCTGGCAGACAGAGCAAGACCCTGTCTCACAAACAAACAAACAAAAAACAAAAAATAGTAAGTGTATAAACTAATCCAGAAAAAGAAAAGCATAAACAGAAATGTAAAAGTAGAAACAGCTACAGGCAGAGAAAGGAAATTGAAGTGATAAGAGCACTGTCTTTTACTCCGTGCAAATCCGTAAGAAAACAGGGACAAAGCAGGTGGCTTTCTAGAAAACTCTAAATTAAAAACTGTTCCCAGAAACACAGAAAAATCCTCAGGCACACAACACTAAGGCAGACTAATAATAAATTATGAAAAGCACACAGCACACCTCATGTGCTCAGCAAAGGCAATTCTTAGGTGAATACTCAAACCTTCAAGGAATAGATCATTCCATATTACTCAGAAGTTTTCCAGAGAGGGAGAAAGACAGCTTCTAACCTATATGCCGCCATATCCTTTTGAGATGTCACCTGTGCACACACAAACCAGACACCAACATCACTCACAAACGCAAAACCCGGGGAAATGCCACCCCTGGAGCTCCAACCTACTGGTTCTGAGTTTAGGAGCAACACATCGTTAGTGTTCCTGTGGCAGAAACTAGAACTGTTTCTAGTCTAGGAGGGGGTCCGGCTCCCCCCTCCCTGGGCGCTGGGCGCTGTGATGGTTAATACTGAGTGTCAACAACCTGAATGGATTGAAGGATGCAAAGTGTTGTTCTGGGTGTGTCTGTGAGGGTGTTGCCAAAGGAGTTGAACATCTGAGTCAGTGGACTGGGAGAGGCAGACCCGCTCTCAGTTTGGGTGGGCACCATCTAATCGGCTGCCAGCGCAGCACAGCCAGAATAAAGCAGGCAGAAGTTGGAAAGAGCAGACTTGCCGAGTCTTCCAGCCTCTTCTTCCTCCTGTGCTGGAGGCTTCCTGCTCTCGAACATCAGACTCGAAGTTCTTCAGCTTTTGGACTCCTGGACTTACACCAGTGATTTGCCAGGCGGTCTCAGGCCTTTGGCCACAGACTGAAGGCTACACTGTTGGCTTCCCTACTTTTGAGGTTTTCGGACTCGGGCTGGCTTCCTTGCCCCTCAGCTTGCAGACAAGCTATTGTGGGACCTCACCTTGTGATCAGGAGACAATTCTCCTAATAAACTCCCCTTCATAGATTCATCTATCCTATGAGTCCTGTCCTTCTAGAGAGCCCCGACTCACACAGGCACTGAGGGCTGGGGGTGCCGTGGGTCTGCATCTGGCCTTGGGTGGGGTCCTCCCCTCCGGCAGCAACCTGGAGGGCACAGGTTCCAGACGATGGGGCCACAGGAGAGGGCAACCTGGGTCCCAGAACCACTGCATGGAGGGAGTGCCCTGCAGAGCTGCTGGACCCCTGGGACTCTGCCAGGGCAGGAGAGGCCACTGTCTCCCAACCCAGTGCATCCCATCTCGACCACTCTGTTCTCCACCTGGCAGCCCTCTGGATGGTGAAGAGAGCTCCCATTCTCAGCTCTTTCACCTGCTTCTCTGTCGCAGGTTTGGGATTCCTCACCACCTTGGTGGCACGGAAGCCATTACAGACGGGCAATGCCCATTTTAAAGCTTTCTCAAGGCAGAGTGTCCCGCAGTCCGTGGCTGTGAGCTGTTGAGTGGAGAGGAAGGCAAGAACGACTCTTCTCTGTGGTGTGGGCATCAGATGATTTTAAACCATCCAAAAACAGCACGGCTATGTTAATAGCCGCATAGGTTGCTAGATGACATTAAATCCGTAGTCAGCCAGAAACCCCAGTTCTTTTCATATTTACCACTGATCAACTTCAGTCATGGAAACATAGGTGTGAAATTGATACAGAAAACTCATTTCAGCTGGGCCCAGTGGCTCATGCCTATAATCCCAGCAATTTGGGAGGCAGAGGCAGGAGGACTGCTTGAGGCCAGGAGTTTGAGACCAGCCTGGGCAACATGGCAAGACCCCATCTCTACAAAAAAGTTAGCTGGGTGTGGTGGTGCATTCCTGTAGTCCCAGCTA